AAAGCAGCTCAGCTGGAGCCTCTCTGCAGTAATTCTGCCTATCCTCTCACACAATACGCACTTAAACAACACACAAGATTATGCTGCCAGACGCGTATTCGCGCAAACAATCAGCACCATATCAGACGGCACTCGTTCCATAGCCATGCTGTGCAATTTTCTGGCGTTGTGGTGGTGAGAAAAACGTCGTGTATGATTAGGTGCAAGGGTATCGTATGTGAGAAGCGTGTCACTTCGTGAATACTGGCCTTGCGGAATAGAAAACTAGCGCGCATTTGGAACCAGCACAGACGTAGAATTTCACGGCACCGCAAACACTGGGCTTAATCTCACCAGACGTTGGTTAGCTGGCTTCGACATGCAAATGGTGTTTGGCCGAGGGAAAAGTGATAAGACCGATTCCACGGAGGAAATCTTTCCCATTCCAAGTCAGTGTATTCCTTACTATCGTCGATCGGACGCGCTAGAACCTACCTCGGCTCGTTATCCATTGTGGTTGGAGAGTTGTCAACCAAAAGCCTAACTTGATTTTCCTCAAAAGTGAGTACTAGGCTGCGATAAATCCCTAAGTGAGGCCTGGTACGTATGCGGTGCGCGCAGACTGGCTGTTTAGTTTTATCAGTCACTGCACCCACACTCTCGTTCGTCTTGCCCATGTCTTGTCATCAGATAACGGTGGGCAGGGTGGAAGAGAGGGTGGCGAGCAGGCGAAGACAGTCTGCTTCTCCGTAATCAAGTTCAGGCCCTGTTCACTGCGGCAGAACTCGCACCTCGGAGCTCTGGTGTATTTCGGCCTTCTTTCATTTCCTAGGAGATTAACGTGCGAACGTGGAGTAAATCCCTCGGAGCAGACCTCTTCGGCACGGTCCGAAGGTCGATGTGACTACCGGCGCTGAAATATATCAGCTGCTGCGGACTAACCGCGCAATATTCACAAACTGCGAACAGGCAACCAATAGCATACAATTATGTGGTTATTTACAATGCTGACAAGACAGTATCTGTACCGTCAGTAGGGTTAATAATCAAATTGTGTTGAATTTCGTGGTTCGCGACGTCATACTACTGTTATTCGTTCCCACCAAGGTCAGGCATAATTCTGACAGTATTGTATCCTAGGCACAGCCTTCGAAAATGAGGCCTGTGCAGATGGATCGGGTGGTGTGTTTGTGAAGCAACAAATAGTGTCTCTAACCCACGTAAGCAACGGTAGAGTGAAGGACTTCACTTAACAGTTGGTAATCTGTGAATCGTTTCATAAGGAAGTTTTATCTGGGTATCCATATGCAGGCCGTTGCTGACATTGCACTGTCAACAGCAATCGCTTCTTAAGACCTCAAACCATCACTCAAATTCTGTAATTGTTTAAAATGTGTCATTTGTTTACAGTTTAACAAGCGTACTCCTTTTCGTCGCCATAGGCAAGAATTTCAGTAAAAATATAAATAAATTGCTGTGTTTTCTTCCATCTCGCCAACTTACTCTCTGGCTTGCTGTTCAACCCGTAAAACCTCCATTGCCACCATTCCAGTATGACACAATCCACAGTCCACTGACAGCTGAGTAAGGTCCTTCACCCTACCGTTACCCCCGGATAGTTAGTAACCAAAATGCATGCTAACTGCTGGACTTGAGTGAGATGTTTCTCTGCCACTGGCGAAGTTCCCCGTCATCTTTGCTCTCTTCGGTTGTCAATGAATTCATACAGGTCCAGCCAGAGAAATCTATACTTGGATTAACTGCTGTCTTCGCTCATGACGTTTCCTTTTATAGCGTTCACGTTATCGTTAGCACGATCTTTATTCGCTGTTAGTACTCGGTATTCTTGCTTTTTATATTATTTTACCTTGATCTTCAGACGTCGGTTTGCTGTAGACAATGCAGGCCTACTTTTCGCAGCTGAGATCGACCCTGCCGATTGCGCAGAATCGTTTTACGAAATATTCTTGTTGATCCCTGAGCGCTGCCAAAGCAAACGTAGGCGCTGCTGAGCGGTTATTCATCTCTCCCTTGTCGCTAAACGTCTGCAGAAGTTTGTCGAAATTATTCTTTTTATGGACATTATGCTGAAATCTCCACTGGACAGCTGCTCCATCAGAATGCAAATGTCGTCAATGTATGTAGATGCCTACCAAATAATAGTTTTAGACTCCTTAATCCTATTCTACCACTTCACCCTTGGGATCAACTAAAGTCAGTTTCGATTGGACCGAAGGAACCTCATGGCATGACTCTAAAAGATTATCCAAATTTCCAGGTCTCATAAGACCTTCATTAGCACCATAGTCTTGTCAGTCTCCAGCTGAGAATTAGGGAGGATGCAGGAATCATTCCTCAAAATCTTGCTTGAGGTTTGTGTATTTGCTGACGTCGCTGTTAATCTTACGGGCTAGATTATTATTTTAAGTTCCATTTACTTTCCATTTGGTGGCACTTGTCTTACGCGAATGTTTAGTTTGATTTCGCACTTTGTCCCAGTTTCCTCCTATCCATAGTAATTATCATGAGGTCAGAACTATCAACAAAACATTCATGTCTCATATTCTTCGAAGCCTACGAAAGGATTTGTGTCCACTGAGGGTGCGGAGGCCGTCTTCGGTAAACATGAATGCCGGAAGGGTCAGTTGGATAATGTTACGGTTGAACTGTAGTGAATATGAGGATAAGGGGTTTAAGACAAGCTCATGGTTCAGTTCAACCCCGTTGGTATTATAGTAGCCGTGCCTGAATCGTTTCTTTCTTATTGAACTCCCAGTTATACATGAAAAACCTCCATTTTTAATATAACCCTTTCCGGACCGCCAAATTCCCCGCAATTCCCGTAAATACGTATATTTTTTGGTGTGTTCGAAGTTTTTGTGAGGTTGCCAGGGGTAGTGTAGTTGCTAATAAGCAGTTCTGATTCATCAGTAAGTGACATTTAGTCAACAGACTTAATTCCACAAAGTTCGCAGCTTTGATGGCTTCGAAATATCTTCGTCGGACGTCTGCTACTACGTTTATGGAGTCGATCAAAGTAGACAGATACGTACGTGGTCACGTCGGTCGTTTTCGTAGTTATGTTAACTATGTGTCCCTGATGCTCGTAGCAATTAGCGCTTGCGGCCACAACGCATTAATGCAATAGGTTAGTTCGCCTAGCATTTGAGGGTCACCGAGGTCGGCGTTTGACATTACCTAGTCACAGATAGAAATTCGACTGCTAAGGACATCCCAAAAACGCCTAGTATGGCTTCAAAAGCAGCAGCGTTGTTTTTTCAAGAATGTGTCGTCAACAGGTTTCGGTTGTCCAGCAGTACTGTGTTGCCGGAGTGGCTAATCCTGGTGTATCAGTCTGATCCCCTCATAGACAGGGAGCAAAAACGAAAGCAGTTACATAAGATCATGCTTCGTAAATGACTCTCCGACTTCCTGAAGTTTGTTTCACGAGACAGGCTCACTCAGATTTGGCATAGTCTGTGCCACTTCTGCATTGGGGCCGTCGAAAACGTGAAGTTGGCAACCTTTAACACGAATTTTATAAAAAATTCAGTTCATCGGCAATGTCCTAACTGTCGAGACAGAAGAAGACTACTTTCGTCCACCCCATGGTTTTGTCAGCGTTCCGAAAAGCGAATTCCAGCGATGGTCGCTTTTCCTAAATTTTAACTGATAAATTCACAACAGAATTTGCTCTCCATTCCGATCGGCTTTGTGTTAATTTATCCAGAAGTGATTACACAATTCGACCAGCTAATGTGGGCCAGAGTACTATAAATCAGAGCGATGGGAACTTGCAATTTTGATATCCTGTGCGTTTTCAACAATGTAAAACTCCGAAAAGTCGCGGCCAGCAAACTGGAAGGAATAAACAAGTTACACCCGGAGCTGCTTATCTGCTCCTTCGTCCACTGTGAGGTACACACTGCGTCTGTATGTTGGATTACACCCAGACTCAAAGGGGCAGATGATTCCACCTTTGCTTTACGACACGCAGTGAGAAAAGAACAGGAGGACAAGTAAATCCTCACTGTTGTAAATATAAGTTTGATGACAGCTGTGGAAATAATTAGAGTTTGATAATGATTGCCTTGGGAGGGAATTGAGTTCCGTTGACGTCATTCTCAGAGCCGCGCAACGTATTAATGAAAGGCTGGGCTGAAACTTTCGAATGAGGGTTTTGGCGCAGTGGCTCCCCCAGCATTCTTTTGCGTAGTTACAAAATCACGCACGTAATAGTGCGTCTGTCAGCAAAAATCAGACCACATACTTGGATATTCCAGGGAAAAGATGGAAGAGATACTTCCTCCGTCTGTCTCTCAGTTGCAGACAACAAGTTACTGTGGCATTTCGGAACCTCCAGTAGCACGACTCGTGGCACTCATCGTGGGAGTTTAATTTTTACTAGGTACGGGCAGGAGAGGATGCGCCACACAGGAACGGTCTTGGTTACTTTCCTAGCCTGCATTGTGCTCCACAGATAAATGTGAAGCAAGTCAAAACAAACTAAATGGATTCACTATTTGTAGCTTGCCAAAATCTCGCTAGATTTAGGACAGCAAATCTGCGCCGCTGTTGCTTAGGATGTAAAGCTGGGCCGACTTCTCGAAAGTTTTCTTGATAGCTTTTGTTTGTTCCTTAGTTTGATCTTTATCAAGAGAATAGAGGCTTCTCTATCATTTCGGCAGTAATTGGAAATTCGTCAATTTAATATTCCCCATTCGCAGATATTTCAAAATATGAGTATCTTATATGCAGAGGATGCATCCTTTACATCATTACCTGAAAAAAATGAGCTCAGTTTCTTAATAATGCGATAGTTATTCTACTTAGAATGTCATACAATTAGACTAGGCCTTGCGAATTATCCGCATAAAACCTTCTAGACTTCCTGAGCGTCTGATACTGGGTTTGCGCAAAACCCGTTGGGTGCGGGGTGTAGTGGTGTCCAATTGTGGGTCCACGTGAAGGTCGTAGTGGGTCGCTCACTTGTTTGCAGGTGCTGACTACGCCTAGCGTCCATGAACTGGCACCCAATACACACTTTTGGCTACCCGAAGCTATGTTCTGCCTACCAGCCACATCCCGGTAACCGCCTCAACCGGCGGACTAAACCAGGTGAGGGTATCCGTGTGTGCATCCTCCACAAGGTAATTCTACTCCCCCTTCTCCCCCACCCTCTCCACATCGCTTCTCTTCCCTCTTCTACCTCCTCCTGTTCTCCGCCCGTCTCTTCCTCTCCTTTTTTTCTTTTTCTTTTTCTCCTTCTATTTCTTCTTCTTAATCTTCTCCGCCCCCATCACCACTACTACTACTACTACCTCCTCCTCTTCCTCCCCCTCTCTTCCATCTTCCTCCTCCCCCGCTCCCTCCTCCTCATCCTCCGCCTCTCTAACCCCTTCAATTCCCTCTCCTTCGTTTCCACTCTACACTCTACTCTCTTTCACCACGGTCGAAATTCCTACTGCGAGGGCAATACGCAATCACATAAGCGTCACGTCAATTGATCATTCTCTCACTAAACTCCGTGGGGCTTTAGTGGAAAGCGGAATGGGTCTGGCGCGAAGAATCCGCCCTATTTGGAGGAAGGAGCTATAAAAGGTGTCCGAGAAAAACTGGGTTCATGACATCTGCGCACAGGCCGTGGCTCGCCGATCGCCAAACATGCGGTCGAAACCAAGACAAAAGACAAAACCCTCTTCCTCCTCCTCCTCCTCCTCCTCAACCACACCCCACAAGTAGCTGGCGTGAGTCCGCTCACTCGGGCAGTCGGGAATGTTCCTTGACTTTTAGATAATCCCAGAAACAACCGACGGGAACGAAGAACGACTCTAGTCGCTCGGGTACTAGCGCGCTACAAGGTGGACGTCAGTGCACTCAGCGAGACCCATTTCTCCGAACAAGGTCAACTGGAGGATGTGGGTACCGGCTACACCTACTTCTGGAACGGTCGCCGCAAGGCAGAGCGACGCGATGCAGGCGTCGCCTTTGCCATCGTGACACGACTCCCTGTCTGCCGCAGGACATTAATGAACGTCTGATAAGCCTGCGCCTGCATTTCCAGGGATTCAACTTCGCCACCATCATCAGCGCCTACGTCCCAACAATGAACGGTTCATACGAAGCGAAGACAAAGTTCAATGAAGACCCGCACACCCTCCTGACGTCTCTGCCGAAGCGGGTAAGCTGATTTTTCGCGTCGGCACAGACTATCCTGCCTGCAGAGTAATGCTGTGTCCCTAGGAAATCGTTGGCTGCAACGATAATGGCCTCCTCCTCCTCCTGCGATCCTGAGCTGAACACTGCTCCCTGATGGCCAGCGCATTCTTCCGCCTGCTGATGCGGAAGAAGGCCACCTGGATAATCCCTGATCGCGGCACTGGCAGCTGCTGGACGATGTTTTCGTTCGGCAGCGAGATCGGCAGGACGTGACGGTGATTAAGGCTGTCTGTGACGCTGATGTCTGGACATACCACAGCCTTGTCAATTCCAAGAGGCTGCGCCTGTAACCCCACAGGAGGCCACAATGGAAGTGATCTCCAGGTAAACTGAATACGGCTTCGTTGTCTGTGCCCGCTCACCGTTTGAATTTCACCAATCATTTGACCCGGTGGCTAGAAGAGTTGCCAGCTGCAGATGAAAACGCCTCCGCGGAGACCCCATGGAGCCAACTACGGGACGCCGTTCATTCGACCGCCCTGACTCTCCTCGGTTGCACAAGTCGCCAGCACCACGACTAGTTCGACAATAGCGACGCAGCCATCAGTAACCTGCTCGTGGAGAAGAAAAGGCTGCACTGAGCCTACCTCGATCGTCCAACTGATGCGAGCAAAGGGACCTTCTAAAAATGTTGTCACCTTGCGCATCAACGGTTACAAAAATGAAAGACGCCTGGATGGCTTGCAAGGCCGAGGATATCCGCGGTTACGCCGACCGCAACGACTCAAAGGGCTTCTTTGCTGCGATCAGGGCAATTTACCGTCCCCCAACCAAAGGAACTGCGCCGCTTCTCAGCTCCGACGGATCAACGCTTCTGACGGAGAAGTTGCAGATTCTGTGGCGCTGAGCCGAGCATTTCAGGATCGTCTTTAACCGTCCCTCCACATTCTCCGCTGCCGCCATCGACCGAAACCCCCAAGCGAGAATCAACACCGACCTGGAGTTTTTCCTCTCTCCCTAGAAACCATCCGTGACGTCGTCCTGACGATACTTTTATATAGAGCGGAGACTCGGACCGTCTACTCCAACCGTGCCACGAAACCCTACAACTTCCATCTCAGCTGACTTTGCAGGATGCTAAAATTTAAATTGCAAGATAGGATCCTTGAATTGGAAGTTCTAGAACAGACCGAAAATACTCAGCATCCACGACATGCTGAGGCAAAAGCACCTACGCTCGAGCGACCATCTGGTGCGGATGGAAGATACACGTCCGTCGAGACGACCCTTCTTTAGCGATGTCGCCACTGGTTCTCGCCGACTGGGAGGACCAAAACGACGCTACAAGAACACAGTGAAGAATCCACCTGAGCAAGTGCGTACCAATCCAGAGACCTAGGAGTACCTCACCCAGAACAGACCGGCATGACGAAGAGAAGGGAATACTGGCGTTTCCATCTACGAAACAAGTCGAGTGGCCGTCGCCAAAGTCATAAGGGATGTTTGCAAGTCTCAGGTGTCTCCGATTCGCAATGTCACCGCTTAACGCCACCCAACGTGCCCGCTCTTTCAACAAACATTTGGCGCGCGGATCGGCTTCACCGGTCATATTCGGACTCAATGTATCAACCGCCGAATGAACAGGTGCTGCAACCCGGACCGCGCCTGCTTCAACATCCACGTCGACCGCATCTGCGTCCACCTTCACTAAAACTGCTTCGAATCCCCGCGCCGCGCTGCCCTCGGCCACTACTACCTCCGCTACCTAGTCCTCAACTACCGCAATGACATCGAACACAACCACCTCTAGATGACGAAGATGCGATCACTGCAACAGGAAAATCATTGTTCTGACATTTCGGATTACAGTACGCATATGATCCCACGGCGGCGCCCTGCTAATAATAATGCACTCCTTGTGCCCCATTACCCTTAGCTGCGACTGTCTCTGATGATGGGTTCAAGTGAGAATCCGAAACGTCTGGCCAATAAATTTCTTGTTCTAGTCATCGCGTATTCGTCTTCTAAAATGCCTCCTGGAACTCGCCTGTTTGCTTCTATCAGCAACCATCTCTGCCATCACCGCCAACGGCCCAAACGCTCCTGATGCCCGACAACAGCAAAAAACTTCACCCTCGCCACCCCGCTCGGCCACACCCGTCCTCATTGCGATCAAACATTCACCTTACACATCTACCTGGTCGGTCACTTGCGAATCAATCGCTCAGAGACTGGCAAACCAGTGCCTAAAGTACTGACATTTACTCGCCGGATCCACTGGCACTGCCCTCACTGTCTACGCACATCCATTCACGGCATGGGCCTATTAGGCCATGTGCGCATCCATAAAAACCTGAGGTGGACAACCGCTGGCTACGTCACGCTGTCGTCCTTTTCCCCATCAGCACCTGCATCACGCAATATCATCCCCTATGATCAGACAACGCCAGGACTCAACTGCCGCCTCCCATGTAAGTGGAGAGTGTTCTTCCCGGTTCCTTCTCCATGCGGCCCCTCTGCTGCTCGTGTGATCCCACTCTAAGACTATCACGGGCCGCTGAGCGCCGTGGCTAGGAAGGCTGGGAACTGACGCCTCGAATCAGTCTGCTCAGTTGTGTGCGTTTGTGTGAAGCTCCGGACTGGTGACCTAAGAACTAGGCTGACACGGCTT